CAAAGAAAATGTGATTTTCTACCGATTTAGACACTTACATTACCTACCAACACCCATATGGTCGACCAATGTCACCTAGCATGGAAAAAACTCGAAAAGTGATGACCAACAAAAGGCAAAAAAAAGTTAGTAACAAGGGAGTTGACCTGTTCAGTACAAGTCTTCAGAAAATCAACATATTGGGAAGCCCTTCTCCCAAATCAAAGGAAATGTGATTTTCTACCGATTTAGACACTTACATTACCTACTATCACCCATATGGTGGACCAATGTCACCTAGCATGGAACAAACGAAGAAATTTTCAAAGAATGACTTTTGTGATCACATATGGCGCTGTAACTCCTTTCACAGATAGAAATCCGTTCTGAAAATTTAATGGCAGCTTCACGACGATGAAACAAGACTCTCAGCCAATTTTGAGCGATATCTCGTGTGGGCAAATTGAGTTATTATCAAAAATGTCACCTAGTATGGAACAAAAGAATAATTTTTCAAAGAATGACTTTTGTGATCACATATGGCGCTGTAACTCCCTTCACAGCTAGAAAACCGTTCTGAAAATTTAATGGCAGCTTCACGACGATGAAACAAGAATCTCAGCCAATTTTGGGCGATATCTCGTGTGGGCAAATTGAATTATTATCAAAAATGTCAAAAATCATGGAAAAAACTCGAAAAGTGATGACCAACAAAAGGCAAGAAAAAGTTAGTAACAAGGGAGTTGACCTGTTCAGTCCAAGTATTCAGAAAATCAACATATTGAGAGTCCCTATTCCCAAATCAAAGGAAATGTGATTTTCTACCGATTTAGACACTTACATTACCTACTAGCACCCATATGGTCGATCAATGTCACTGGGAATATTTACACGCTCAGCGTGTAGTATATACAGGGAATATTTAGGGTTTTGTTTTCGTAATGAGATCGACTTTCGATTACAGTTTTAAAACTTTACTACACATCTACCGTCAGGCTGTTTTGTATGTAGTTAGTTCACTTTTACGCTCAACTTTTTGTTAGTCTTTTTCAGAGATTGCATATTTGCTGCTGAGTAGGCCTGAGCTGAGCTGAATTTGCTAACTCAGGCGCCTGAAGCGGTATTTTAGCGCACTTACGGTAAAAAATCGTTGTGGATCGCTGGAATCCACCCAAATTTAATTGATAAACAGCGTACAACGGTGAAAAATTGTTATGGATCGGTGGAATTCACGCTGTTTATCAATTATATTTGGATGGATTCCAGCGATCCACAATAATTTTGCACCGTAAGTGCGCTAAAATACCGCTTCAGGCGCCTGAGTTAGCAAATTCAGCTCAGCTCAGGCCTATTCAGCAGCAAATATGCAATCTCTTGTCTTTTTTACTCTCAGGCCCCCATATCATGTTCTTTTGAAATATTATCTGAAACAGAAAAAAATGGAGTCGCATACGGAATATATGATTTCATGTGTTGTTGTGTCGTTTTCGGGTGACAGACGTTCAATAATTTTGGGATTCAAACGTCGTTAGCACGTGCATATGTTTTCCTATGTTCTCGGTGGGCGATCGAAGATTATTAAGGTGGGAATTCACCTTGCAAGTAAAATGCTTGCAGCAAACATTTTTTTCCAACGTACTTTTCTATTCGATTCTAAGAATGACACTTGCATGCAAGTAAAGGTAGTGTGATACATTAGTGTAAATTTTGGTCAATATTTATTTTTAAACGACCACGAGGTAGGTTTATATGATCGATTTTAAAAATATATTTAAATATTCAAAGAAATTCGATCATTTTATCACTGTACAATTTACTTTGTGGACGTATACACGAAAATATGGAACAGAATTCCATGCAAGCAAAGTGCTTGCAAATGCTTGCGTGCAAGTACTTCACTTGCATACATTTTGGTCGAAATTTTTGCGCTACTGCCCACAAAGTAAAACATATAGTGCTAAAATTATCGAATTTATTCGAATATTCAAATATCTTTATAAAATCGATCATATAAACCTACCTCGTGGACGTTTGGAAAAAAATATTGACCAAAATTTACACTAATGTATTACACTACCTTTACTTGCATGCAAGTGTCATTCTTAGAATCGAATACAAAAGTACGTTGGAAAAAAATGCTTGCTGCAAGCATTTTGCTTGCAAGGTGTATTCCCACCTTTAAACTATGGAGTCACTTAAGCGGCTCCCAATATTAAATCTGACCATGGCGAACTCATGTTGGGTGTATTGTATACTCTAAATTCGCATTCGAATGTTGAAAAATTTCATCCCCAACACTTTCGATACATTTTTCACCCTTTAAAACTCAATTGGGCAAATAGGTTATATCCACGAAAGTTGCGCCTGGTCCCATAGATTTCATTGGCGAGAATGTTTCTTGTTTTTTCTGTTTCAGATAATATTTCAAAATTTGAAATTCTGAAGGCATCAAAAAAATCTTGCCTCCAACTAATGGTTTTGAACGTTTTTTGAGTAATAAATATTTTAGAAATTGTAGTTTGCTACCGATTCACCAATAATATTAAAAATTGGCTGCCTTGCATCCTAGCAACCATAAAAATTGGCGAAAATTGATGTTTTTTTCAGAACAGAATAAAGTGAAAAGTCGTTTACAAGGTGTATGGTTTTTGGGCTGTAACCGTGTAACAATGTGTGTGGATTGCATTAAATAAAGCGCCATCTATGTGATGATGCTTTTGTTCGTATAAGTCCATATGCATTCAATTTGAATGCTCAAAAACGTTCGAAACAATTAGACGGTGACAAAAATTTTTTTGGTGCCTTCAGAATTTCAAATTTTGAAATATTATCTGAAACAGAAAAAAATGGAGCCGCCTACGGACTATATGATTCCATGTGTTGTTCCTTTCTTCCTTAGTTATTCTATGTGTAATTTACTTGAATCGTCAACAAAACGCATGGAGTATTTCTCTGTTTTGCTTTATAAGGTGATTATAATACAAAATTTCGTTATAATTCTGAAACCTTATATTGTACGGATAAAGATTTTTATCCGTAACTGCGATCCTTATCCGAGTTGACCGTAGCACGAGCAATCTGTGCCTCCACTCACATTAAATTTGTATTATGAATGTTAAGGTGCGTGTAGTGCCCTTCAATGTAAAACCAATACAAGTGGAGGATGGCACACGGGGTTTACTTGTATTTTCACAAATAAACAAAATTAATTGTCCACGAACGGTTAATATTTCCAATATGTGGAAGTGATGACAGTGGCCCGTTATCATCAATACTAATGTCACCTAGCATGGAACAAATGGAAAAATACATGTTCCAGATGCGTAGATAGTGTAATTGACACCCAAATGATCCATTTCCGCTTTTGGTTTGGCATTTGTGACAGTGGGAGAGAAGCGCTAGGAGAAAGAATTTCGAAGATGAAGTTCACATTTTTCCCTAAAGTTGTAAAAAGGGAGTTCACATGTTCGATCACAGCTAAAAAACTAGAATAATTAAAATAGATTGGTTTAAATTTTTTATATTTTTTTATTCGAATTGGTCCTCCCCTTTCTTTTTCTTCTTTTACAGGACACAAAGAATCACTGTTTGCTTGTTTTTTTTTCTCTATCTGCTTCACATTGTACGGTAAAAAAATGACTGGATATTTTACAATTGTCTACAATTTGATGTCGAACACTCCCATATCAGATTGATAAAATGTTTCTCGTCTTAAATAGTATAATAGAAAAATCAATCTCATTCATCAATAAAAGCAGCTCTCCCACAAATTTAATATCGTGTTACGGTTCCTTTTGTTTAATTGTCGACTCTAGCTTTTTAGTTTAGTAGTTAAAAGGGATTTTTGGTGGCAAGTATGTGTATCCGGTGAATGTTTTTTCTGTGGTCGTGGTCGGAAGGAAACAGTTGGGGTAGTTTCCTAGGTAGCCTGGAATTGACAAAGAACATGAATGAGACAATGTAATAGAGTCAAGAGTAACCCAAGAGAAACGACCAATATGTTTATACGCTGTCTATCCGCCGAAAATACACTACAATATATATTCACGCTTATTGGACGCCCAATTGAATATATATTCTAGTGTATATTCGGTGTATTCTTCAGCGTGAAACATATTGAATCAATGAATGCATTCATGGCCATCAGAGGGCGCCTGAATATTTTTCAATATGTTTCACGCTGAAGAATACGCCGAAAATACACTAGAATATATATTGAATTCGGCGTCCAATAAGGGTGAATATATATTGTAGTGTATTTTCGGCGGATAGACAGCGTATAAACATATTGGCCGTTTCTCTTGGGAATTGTCAACAGAGCGCATATTATAATTGGTTCTGCTAATGTGTTGTTGTGTCTTTATTTCAATTCGTTACTGTTTTATTTCAGTTAAAAACCTATAACATACCTGGTGGGCATTGGGGCTGCGGTGTTGGTCGTGGAGTGGTCGTTTGTGGATAGCAATTTGGATATTGGCCAATTAGACCTAAAACATTGAGAAAAGAAGGCCGTTGGTTATTATATCATCACAGTTAAAGTCTACTTCTATTAAACTTGTCTAAAATTGTTTCACTTTTTTATGCAGAGACGAAGAGTCACACTGAGCCTATAAGTAGCGCAATGCAACACGAACGGAGGACGAACAGTTCACAAGTTTCAAATAAAAATGAGTTTACCACTGTAC